AAGAAGTTCTTTACTGTGAGGGTGGTGAGGCACTGGAATGGGTTGCCCAGGGAAGTTGTGAATGCTCCATCCCTGGTGGTGTTCTAGGCTAGGCTGTACAGAGCCTTGGGCGACGTGGTCTAGAGTATGAGGTGTCCTTGCCCATGGCAGGAGGGTTCCAACCCAAACCATTCTGTGATTCTATTAAGCAAATGTTTTTTTCCTAGGAACCACTGGGTTGACTTCAATGCATTATACCAGAATTCTGGAGCATAAATGTGGCTTAATATTAATAATAATATTGATAATGCATCCTAGAATTTCAGCTAAATGAGGGTTTTTTAATCCTTTTTCATTTCTCCCTTGTTTACTTAGTGCTACACTGAGCTTCATTTCTCTTTTGATTATGCAAGTACAGTTGTTTGTGGAGTTATACCATATGTTTGAAATATTTGCTTCCTTACACAGCTAATGATTTAAAAGATTTAACTTAAAAATAAAAAGGGTGTTTGGTTGTTTTTTTTTAATACTAGGAGCTGTTTCTCCTGAATTAGGGAAATTTTGCAGGAAATTGTTGCTGGGTTGGGAACACTCCAGAGAAAACAGCTGGTGACCTGCTTTAATTGTGGTGAATGAGACTGCAAGTATACAGCTGGGTACATATACCATTGTTTTTGCTTGTTGGGTGTTGCTTGTCACAGACATCAGTTCCATCATGATGCTAAGTGTATCTTACAACTCCTTTGAATAGCCCTTAATTAAATAGCAGACTGTAAAACTATTTGGATTTTGTAAGCTAGTATCTCCTAATGGCTTGGAATAATATACTAAGGCAGGACTTTGTATTACTTAATGGCTCATGCTTCTTGAAAATAATTAAGAACTCCATTGTATTTAATGTAAGTTAGGTTTCATACTGTACTTTATATTATTGCTATGTTTTCAGAATTTGCTTCTTATCAGCACATTCCCATGACATTTCCGCTTGTAAAATACTTGACTCTTCCTTCCCTCATCCCCTTTTGTATTTAGAAAGTTCACTTTAATTCTTCTTTCTGTATCCTGATTAAAAAGAAGGGGAGGGGAAAAAAATGTTGTTGCAGCATTAGTAAGAAAAGATTGTGAGTTCTGTGTGTAATTCTTGGGCTTCCTGACAGAGCAGAGGGCCACATCTGACACAAATGTTTCTGATTTTTAAATCTTCTGTATTTTAACTATGCAAAACTATGTACCCATCTGTTCTCCCAGCCCAGGCCCCATGTGAGGCAGAGCTGTCGCCACTCTGCAGCCAGATCAGGCCTGTGGGAAAAGAAGGGAGGAAGAAGGGAAAAGTGCACCCTGTGAAAAGAGGAGCACAGGCTGCCTTGCCTTGCCTTCGCCACCAGTCCCACTGCAGCGTCAAGCACAGATGAAGTTCTCTAGGGACAGACCCTGGCTTTTAATGAGGTCACACTGAGTAGGGGTTGTATGGGAAGAAGGGTGTAATAACATGAAGGATTCAGAAGTACTGCCCTACTCATTGGTCTTGTAGGAGAGCTGGTGGTGGTAGTGTTTTTTTTGATGGTGTGTGCTGCCATTGCAAGGACAGAATAACCACTGGGGTCACCAGAGGCATCAATGTTGCTGAGCTCTGTCTGTGTACTGGCTGTGCATCCTTACTTATGGTCTGTACTACATGATTCACTTGTTCTCCCTGTGAACCTCCTGAGATGGGAAGGGATGGTCCATGGCTTTGTGGGCACCTACTGTTCCAAAAAGGATGGATGTGGTGGGTGTTAGGCATGGAACAGTGGAGACACATTCAGGATTGCAGTGTTTCTGCAATGAAGGTGCCTCTAGGATCAGGGGAACAGTTTGTCTTAATGTTTAGGGTGTAGATTTTGTGTTCTTAGTGAAACTTTGGCATTATAATCCCTCAAAGGTGAAACCATGTGGAAGAGAAGATGGAGACAGCTTTTCTATCTTTGGCTGAGGCACTGTATATGTGATATACTTAGTACTTTTGTATTAGGGCTAAACGTTGAAGAAAATCTTGATTTGCATATGCCATTTTAGTACTTCTTCCTCTTTTTGTCTTGGATCCATTTAAATCCTAAGCAAAAATTTCAACTTTGAAACTAAAAATCTGTTTCTGCCTTGAAGGAGGAAGGTTAGGAAGGTTAATCAGAAGCTTCTCTTACTAGATTGTTCTTTCCTCCTTCTCACAGTTCCTTGCCAACCTTCTGTGAGGTTTCTGATTCTTGCTTTTCTTCATTTATTACCTTTTTGCTCATGAAATACTGAATATTACCTGACCAGAGGTGATTTGGTTTGGTTTTTTTTCCACAACTGTGTTGCTTTTGCCTGCCAATCCCACACCCTTTTCGTTTGATTTAGATTCAGTCCTGTCCATACTTTGTGTCTGGGGAGTGGCAGTATTCCTGCTTGGGTGCTGAAAGGTGTGAAGTGCTAACTTTCTCATTTCAGATAACAAAGAAAAAAACCCTCATGACTCTTTGTTGTATTAAGCATGGTTTTAATGATGTGATCAAGAACCAAAGTGAAGAGGACTGTAAGGCTTGATGTGGGTAGGGAAAATTGAAATTTCAGTAGGTTAGTATCTGGTATGATGGCGCTTGGTATGATCATTTCTTTTTGAAATTTGAAATTATTCTGTCATTGTGAGTGATTCCACAGTAAAAAAAAGTGGAAAAAAGGAAAAGGAATGGAGTTCTAACATGCGACTGCAGTAATATATCTTGCAGTTAAAAATCACCACTTATTTCACTGAAATTATCTGGAAACTGTTTCTCTTGCTGGCTTTACTAGAAAGTCAGCTGTTTCTCTGAAGTACATCCTAATTCCCTGAATAGGTAATAAAATTCAGACAATATGTTTATCTAGTTTATTTTAAAAGATTAACATTTTCTTAGTGGTGGGTAAAGAATCACCCTGCCACATGTGCAAGGGATGAACTGGCTCTGCCCTGGTTTCAACAGGTAAGGATAGTTGTTAAATTTGAGGATATTGGTGTGAAAATATGAAATAGTTGGGCTCATTGTTTATTTAGTTTTTAGGATTTCGTAATGGCTGCATAATTATTCTTTAATGTAATGCTTAAGAAATTTCTTATCAGTTAAATTAACTAGTCCACCTCTATGTCTTTACCTGATTTTGACTGATGGGACATTATAAGCTGAATGTAAGAGACTGAGTTAATTCAGTGGATAGTAAACTATGTTCTTGATTATCAAGCTGTAACTGATAAAGATTGAGCTGGTAAGTAACTGAAAGGCTCAGCTGTTGAGCCTGAGTCAAAGAATTCAGAAGTTTGGGCAGGAAGCCTAGAATTTCTTTTACCTAAAAAGTGGCAAAATTTTTTAGTTTTTGTGCTCTTGGGCAAAACAATAAAGGAAAAGGCTCAGCACAATTTGATGGACATTTAACATACCAGGTGTATTTGGACTAAACAAAAACTCATGAGTAATGAGGAAAAAAGAATTTGTCAGCAAAGAATGACTTATAGCTCAAGATATGCAGGTATAGAATAACAGTTGGAAAACATGGAAGTTGAAACAAACAGTGAAGTGCTTTTCAGCTGTAAAAGTTAAAAGAGAGCAAGAAGAATGCAAGGGTGACTTCTGCAATGTCCAGGTGGGGTAAAGGATAAAAATGATTTGAGTATCGTCCAAAAATAAAGTAGCAATCCATGAATGCCGATAAGGCAGTTAAGGCAAGCCGGATACTGGTTCCCTCTTAGAAGGTATTGGAACATAGCAGATCTTCTAGAAAATGTGCTTATTTTGTTAAAAATTTCCAGGAAGTTGGGAAAAGATGAAGCCATATTATTGGAGACTGTCACATTCTGGAAAAACACTGAATAATATGGAAAAATAGCCAAGAAGACAAAAGTTCTGTTAGCATGCCCTCAGCAGTGTACACTGTTAACTGGGGAGACTTTTCTAAGCCTGTTCTTTTGAGGAAATTCTGTAAGTTGTATTTCCTTGAGTTTTTTTTTCTCTTGCAAAGATAATTTAGATTGCATCAAGTTTGTTGTGAGAAGCTTTAGGATTTAGGAATCTGCATTTTGAGATGAGAGCTTTAAACCATGAAATTCAGCATCCTGACACTGGCAGCAATTGCTGCTAGATGCATTAGAAGAAAGCGAAAAAAGATACTTAGCTGTCTTCACATGACTTTTCTCTGGCATTTTTGATTGTGGAACTGTTATGCTGAATTCTGAATAACCCATATGCCCTTGAAAAAATAATATAAATGGGAAGATAGATTTTTCTAGAGAGGTTTGCTCCACTTCCTTATGTGAGAATGAAGCCTTAATAGTTTTTTAATGTTTTCCCCTTTCTTGCCCTTTTTTATGGGTTAATACTTTTATTATGTTTCACTTGACATTTGCTATAGCCCTTTGACTTATATTTGAAGGCAGTTTTGAGCAAAGACTCTCACAGCTGTAACAGAATTCAAAGCCTGCTAATAAATCAGTCATCTGTTCTTGTCACCTGAGAGTTTGTCCTTGTAAAACATAAAGCCAAAGAGCTGCTGAACCTAAACACTTGGCATAAGTAACACATTTCTTCTACAGTGTTGACTTTCAAATTTTTACCTGAATATTTTGCATAGTTCTTGAAAATATTTGTTGCTGCACTTTAATAGGAATAACTCGGTATTTTCTTTTCAGTTTCCTTCTGCTCCTAGTGCTAAAGTAAATTTTGCTGCTGATTGAGTTCTTTGTTTTGAGACTGATCTTTGAACATTTCTGGAAAATCAGTTTGCCATGTTCTGATTAAAAAATTATTTCTAAAATACACATGACTCTCAACATTCAGGTTCTTTTCCTTTGTCTCTTATATGCTCCTGACCTGCTGCTTGCTTCAGTCTGGGCCTCATTTAATGGATACTCATTTCAGTGAAGTACTATATAAGAACAGTATCTTATCAGTACAGCTTAAATCCAGATAACGGTCTTCTCTGCTCTCAAAATATATTTCTGACCAGGACACTGAGTTTTTTTGTTTTCTTTTCAGCCCAGTCACTGAAAGAGTTTGCTCGGCTTCTGATTGCTGTTGAAGAGGAGAGAAGACGACTGGTAAGTCTGCAGGCAATATTATGTTGCATTGGGCATCTTTTTGTATAAAATGGCACACTTTATTCCTCCTGAAGTGCCTTTTTTTTTTTTTTTTCTTCCCCATTTGTGTAGTAGGTGTTAAGCATTTCATAAGAATCACTTGGAATTCTGCAAAGGCAAGAAATGTGTTACCACAGACTGCGGCTGTGGCAATTTTTAGTGAGGTTTTCAGCCAAATGGTTATTGCATTGATTTTAAAAACTTCTTCTTCACTCCCCATCCGAAAAAATAACATTTGAGTGCTGCTGTACCTTTCCTTTCGCCAGTCATGGCCCGTTAGTCACAAGGCACAGCAATAAAGTAAACCGCAAACAAAGAGCTTGCAGTGGAAATGTCGGTATTTTTATTTAATGAAATACTCTTATTAGTGTTATTCAGTGAATGTATCCTAGAAATTTGAGAATACGATGAACAAATGGTAAGACAAAGCATATTCATCACCCCTGAGAAATCTTGTAGAATACATTATAGATCAGACTTGTCAGATTTGTTCTTTATTATGGTATTACTCCCTTTGTTTCCATAAGGACGAATATATGAGTGTAGCTTTGTTAATGAAATTATAGGTGTATTCTTAGAGAGGTATTTTTAAAAAAGTCCACATAAGCAATGAAATTGGTTTTCTTTTTTCTCCCTTCAAAGTCAGTAATGAGTGAAGAAGTTGAGGTAAGGATTAACCTCGGGAGGGGAATTTTTAAAAATTGTGAAAGTTTAACTAGCTCTAATCCATCCAATAATTACTATATCTGTCCTGGTTTTCCTTCATCTTACGGGTGCTTAGGGAGGTGAGGGGAAGGATTTTCTGACTCAGATTGGAGCAAGCATTAATCCAGGAAGAGGCTGGTACATGAAGTTCTCTTATTCCTAGGAGCAAATAACCATGGAATTGGTCTCCCTCTATTTCTATTTATGTATTTAATGTGGTAACTTCATAAATATTTATATGGTGCAGTTGCATAGTTAGTATCACCTAAACCTATGAAAGTGAAAATCTTTTTGCTTCATGCTAAACACTTTTTCCTGGTAGGTGGAGTGAGGTGACTGTTCAGTACCACCTTAAAGATGTTTACCAGACAACTTAGTCATTACTTAGCTAAACAAGGTTTCAAACTAATAGCTTTCCAGTTTAGGTTAAAGGTTATTGTGAGCTAACTATTAGAAAAAGGAAAAACAATGAATAGGTGAATGTTTTATTTTTCAAACTGGTTAATCTGTCATAATATGTATGTGTAATTTCCCTTTTTTTTTTTTTTTTTTTCCTCAGAGGAGTCATTCCCTTTTTTTACTCTTAGAAGTTTCTGGTCTGTCTGGTTTATAATTTGATCTTCCCATGTGACATTTTACTTTGTATGTTGTAGGAAGGCCATTAGAGTAAAAGGGGGAAACCCCATAAATTTTATTAAGTGAAAAAAGACCATTCTCACCCTTGGCCAGTGGTGAGTCTGTCTTGGAGCCAGCTGGAACTGGCTCCATTGGACATCGGGAAACTTCTAGCAGCTTCTCACAGAAGCCACTTCTGTAACCCTGTTGCCAAAATCTTGCCATGCAAAACCAATACACTGAGCTGTTGGATCCTAATCATAGAATCATAGAATAGTTAGGGTTGTAAAGGACCTTAAAATCATCAAGTTCCAACAGGGACACCTCACACTAAACCATATCACCCAAAGCCTCGTCCAACCTGGCCTTGAACACTGACAGGGATGGAGCATTCACAGCCTCCCTGGGCAACCTATTCCAGTGCATCACCACCCTCACAGGAAAGAATTTCCTCCTTATATCCAATCTAAACTTCCCCTGTTGAAGTTTTAACCCATTACCCCTTCTGTCCTATCACTACAGTCCCTGATGAAGAGTCCCTCCAAAGCATCCCTGTAGGCCCCCTTCAGATACTGGAAGGCTGCTATGAGGTCTCCACGCAGCCTTCTCTTCTCCAGGCTGAACAGCCCCAACTTTCTCAGCCTGTCTTCATACAGGAGGTACTCCAGTCCCCTGATCATCCTCATGGCCCTCCTCTGGAATTGTTCCAACAGATCCATGTCCTTTTTATGTTGAGGACACCAGAACTGCACACAATACTCCAAGTGAGGTCTCACGAGAGCAGAGTAAAGGGGCAGGATCACCTCCTGCGACCTGCTGGTCACGCTCCTTTTGATGCAGCCCAGGATATGGTTGGCTTTCTGGGCTGCAAGTGCACACTGAAGCCGGCTCATGTTCATTTTCTCATCGACCAGCACCCCCAAGTCTTTCTCCGCAGGGCTGCTCTGAAGTCCTGGGTGAGATGTCAGTCTCATGGAAAAATATTTTATGTATTATGTTAAGTTCAGCAGAATGCAACCATCAAATCATCATAAACAAAATAGCAAATAGTATTCATGTGTGGCAAAGCTGCTCTTGATGGGAAGTTATTTGCATCCAGCTTTTTACTAAGTTTGAAATAATTCCAGTCTGTTTACTCTTCAGGCTGATTGCTCATGCTGAGAGAATCAAGGACACACAATTATCATTGTAGTAATATTTGAATAAGAAAAAATCATCTAACTTAAGATTTTTCTGAATTTTAAAAAGTTTGATCTGCCTGTTGGTGGAATTTTTTTAATTATTATTGGAATTAAGCAATTAAAGTATCACTTTTATCAAAGATGCTTGGTTTTTATTCTCCTGTTCTGTTACTGCAGTTTTCTATGTGCCATTGTAGAAACCAGAGGTCCTTGTGAGGATCAGTGTGCCATGCTATATGCTGTACAGATTGCTAGTAATAAGGGTTTTCTGCTTGACAAACTTGTGATTTAACTGTGAAATCTTCAAAAGTTTTTTTGCTCATTTCTGAAGAAGTATGAAGCATTCTGCATACACTTTGATTTCTCTGCTGGCAGCACTTCAAGCCAACCAGTTTATAGATAAGGGATGATTTTAGAAAAAGTTCTGAGCTGATGGGAAAGTTTGAGGTGGGGCATTCAGGTCTTAAAGAATTTTATTTCCTTTGCTTCTGCATAAAAAGAGAACACTTGGAAAAGGTGTTGGTGTTTTGGCTTTGGTTTGGTTTGCTGTTTTGGAGTTTTTGGTTGGTTTTTTTTTTTGTTTGGGTTTTTTTTTAATTTTTTGACATTTTGTGGAAGGCTTGGAGAAAAATATCTAGTTGAGACTGCTTATGGATACGCTTCATCGTACCATTTACAACTTCCTTTTAATTCTTGAATTGTGTGACAGTAAAAGGCAGTACTGTATCAGCACATACTGTATTGAACGGCAGATGTTAATTTGGTTACCAGCTAATGGTCTTATTTCCCTGCCTTGATTTTTTTTTATTACTAATTTATGAGCTTGTGTAGAAGTGTATGAATGAAATTTTAATATGGAAAGTATATATTAATATCACCAATTTATTTCTCATCTGATGCTTATTAAATTCTTCATAATTACCATTATTGTTTTGATGAACACAGAGATAGTTAGAGTGCTTGCCCACTGGATGCAGAAATTATGTCTTTCCAAGGAAATAGTTTGAGAAGTGCTTAGCAAGTCTTCTGTTCTTGCATGAAGAACCAAAAGGAGCTCAGTTTTGTTTTCTTTAGAAGCAGTTAAAGAAACAAGATATTATGAACAGTATTACCGGAAAAAACACCGCAGTGTAAGGTTAAATAGAACTGTGTTTCACATAAATGTTCTGTTGTCTGAAGCTTTGCAGCCATTATCATTGGCAGCAGTAATAATATGGGAATTAATGTAAGTCAGTTTCTTTTATCCTGCCTTTTATTTCCTGATGCTAAAAAATTTCTAGAAAAACAAAGTCCATGCACCAAACATTTACCCTTAAAAAGCAAATAAAGGAGAAAATAACTCATAAGACATCTTTTCTTATGATATACAGCCTCATGTTTGATATCTGTCATTTCATGGTGTTGGTAATTTGATGATGCTGTTGGTAAATGGTGCATTAAAATGACTGAACCAAGCAGCTCTGATTTTTTGGGTTTACAAGTAGCACAAACAGTATAAAGAGTCAGTTCATCTCCACTGCCCTTCCAGTGACTTTCAGGAACAAGCCACCAGGGAATGCAAAATAATGACCTCTATTTCTCAGTGATTATTAGGGAACAATAGAGATGCTATAATTTAATTTCATGTGAATATTTGGATCTATATCAAGGGAACTTACTTGAAATAATTTCCTTCCGTTCTGGCTGAATTTACGTTGTTTCTGTTAAACCAGTGATATGCTTTTATTTAGAGGTTCATGCATTATTTATGTTTCCTATTCATTTGATATTGTTAGTAACCTTCATAACAAAAAGAAATGTGCTGGGAGTGATATAAAACACTAATTCCTTTTCCTTTCATAGGATTATGCTGTGTTGACGTAAGTATAGATGAATTGGTTCATGCTTCTGGTTTCCTCTTCCTCGAGATTCCCTATCAATTTGAAGCACTGACTGTGTTGTTTTGAGTGTAGCTCCCTGATTAGTTTGAAAGTTTACTAAATCCCAAACTGAATCAGGTGTCTTGACTCTTAATATTCCTCGCTACTTACCCAAGTTTTTATGAGTTGCTGGCAAGTGATAAATGGTCTTAGGGCTATTCTTTCTGTCTGGCATTGTGAATCAGCGAGATGTGTTTGGTTACTTTGAATTCCTGATCAATATTAAATACTTTATGTGATAGTATATCTTCTGAAATGAATAGTTGTGTACTGTGCTCAATGAATATTTTTCTTTCTAATGTCTGCCCCTTTATATCTCATAATCTTCATGCTTCAGAGAATGTTTCATTGTGGACTTCTTTGTATTAGCTGGATGTTCTCTTTGTGATTTTGTATTTACCTTCACACAAGGGGTCTGATGCTATCTGCTTCCAGAGATAGCATCAAAATATTCAAGTTTCAAAAGCTGCACTTGAAGAAAAATAAATGAACTGTTAAAACCAGTTATCCATGGAATGGTACATAAAATCAGATACCAAAG